ATTATAGTAGGCTAAATTGAATTAACCTGAGCTCGAAACGAAATTGTGAGTTGAACTACACCTGAGCTCAAAACATCATAGTAAATTAAATTACTCCTGAGCTCAAAACTTTCATCATGAGTTGAACTACACCTGGGCTAAAAACGCCATTGTAAGTAGACTAAGTTGAACTACACCTGAGCTAAAAACATCATTGTGAGTTGAACTGCACCTGAGCTAAAAACGTCTTTGTGAGTTGAACTACACCTGAGCTAAAAACATCTTTGTGAGTTGAGCTACACCTGAGCTTACATCAACATTCTCTAGGGAAAGTTAAAAAATTGTGGATCATGGGCAGTAGCAGCTCTAGGGGCCCACTAAGGGGTGGCAAGTGGGGCAACCGCCCAGGCCCCGGGCCTGAGGAGCGCCCACGATCGTAGATTTCCTTGTCACCTTCAGCTTTGCAATCCAGATCAGTTCGCATCAACTAGGACTAGTAACTCAGAAAGCCTTCCCAGCATCTCTAGGATACCAATGACCTTGCAAGCTCTTCGGATGACATTTTTGGTTTCAAACACCATTTAGTTGCGGTCTATTCTACGCGGCTATCATTGTTTCACCTTGCCATCAATACAAACAATTAGCCGGAAGCGACCAATTAGCATCGTTTATTTCCTAAATAAACGACATCCAGTCGGATTTGAATAGGAAAACGAGCAGTGATGAAGTTTGAACCAGTGGCTATGCTATAGTTATTTCTACATGAAATAGTCGTAGGTCATTTATAGTGTTGTAACATAAATGAAACTTTTGAAAAATTGATTTTTTTTAATGAAAATTTATAAAGAAATATAGTATATTCTTAACTTTCCTGGGGTTTACGTTCCGAGACCGCCAGAGAAATTAAAATTTACGCATTTAATTTCATATAGGTTTTAGCCAATCAGCATCTAGAAAGTTTGATGATGACGTATTTAGTTTTTCTCAATAGGCATATACATCGCGTGGCCTTGGGAAAACCCGTGTTAAAAAACTAACAAACAAACGCGGGAGTATTTTTTTCATTCTTTATTTTGAAAACCCCTGGTAAAGCCCTTTCGCGAAAGTCGGACCTGCAAACGTCAAGGGATAACTGTAGCTCCTAAAATACACCTTGTTCTTAAAGAACATCGATTTGGCTTCGGCATTTAGATCGCGCATCGGGAGTGAAGATACATAGGCCTAATATTATTATTAGTGCAAAGCAACAAGTCAGAAAGTTTCTTACTGAATCCGTCTGTGACCGTTTAAGCAACTATTTGGTTACTGCAAGTGTTCTGGTTCTCCTCAATAATTAATAGTTACTTTCCGTGCTTAGCAGTTTGTTGATTTTTCATGCAAAATGTTTGTGAATCATTAGTTATGTTAACCTTAAATGGCGAAATCTTTCATGCAGAAAAATTACAATACAGTATGTAATTAGTGAAAGGCCAATAGTACAGTACCTACGTAAGGTACCGGTACTATGTTTACTGTTTAGTAGCAAAACAAAAGGCCTACAGTGTTGGAGGGGTACGAGCTAAAGCGGTGTGGTACCGTACAGATGCGCTCAAGGTCCAGCATATGACACTCGCCCAGGGCCCCACGCTCTGCTAAGGTCGCCTCTGATCATGGGTGATTACAATACATGTGCTTACAGTTAGTAGTGATGGGAACTAAACTAACTAACTATAAATAAAATTTAAACCAGCAATTATGTCATTATGCAATACATGTAATTCTATACATTGAACTGTATAACGCCATTTCGGATTTGTTTAAGAGGATACCTCAGCTTTTTTAGCTTTTGACTTCAGTTGTCGAGCTGTTTACATCCTAGGAATCCTAGGGCTTTTGCCTCTTTTCTTTGCCTCTTTTTTGGGTATTTCATTCACCTCTTTTCTAGTCTTTAGCCTCTTTTTTGGGCCTCCTTTTTTTTAAAATAAAATTTTATTCAAAAGAAAAGACATAATATATTATTTTATATCAATAATAATACAAAGAATATTTTATAAAAACAAAATTTGTGAAGACATAGTTTCAAAAGCACAATTCACGATTTTCATCATGGACATCGAGTAGACTTTTTTTTTATATTAGTAATAATACAAAGAATATTTCATAACAACAACATTTTTATGAAGGAAATAGTTTCAAAAACACATTCCAGGATTTCCAGCATGATCGTGGAGTAGGCTGCAGCAAAGGTCCATAAAATGATGACAGCAAAGGTCCATAAAGTGATGACATCAGCGGTCCATAAAATGATGACAGCAAAAGTCCATAAAGTGATGACAGCAAAGGTCTACAAAATGATGACAGCTAAGGTCAACAAAATGAGGACAGCAAAGGTCCACAATATGATGACAGCACAGGTCCATACAATGATGACAGCAAAGGTCCATAAAATGATGACAGCAAAGGTCTACAAAATGAGGACAGCAGAGGTCCACAAAATGATGACATCATCGGTCCATAAAATGATGACAGCAACGGTCCATAGAATGATGACAGCAAAGGTTTATAAAATGAGGACAGCAAAGGTCCATAAAATGATGGCAGCAAAGGTCCAGAAAGTGATGACAAAAAAGGTCCAGAAAAGAATGGCAAAATCCATTCACAAATTTAAAGAAAATTTTCCTAAAAATAAATATTCTCCTCAATTATTTTTTTTTTAAATTTTTTAAAAGACTTATGAGTTATTTAAATTCATTATTATTATCATTATTATTGCTTTTAATTTTTTTTTTTGGTGCGGAGGGAGGGGGGTAGAATTTTATAATCAGTTGCCTATATTCTATATTTTAGCATTTAGGGGATGGCTCACTCTTATCGTGCCTCCAGGGTGCTATGTTGATTGTTTTATATACCCTTTTGTTATGTTCAGTTAATAATAATAAATTTAATGTACACGTTGATAATGTTTCAGTCTCCTATTTGTGTTATATTTTTACAAACTCAAAACCAGAGTTATTTTACATTTTAAGAATATTTTCAAACAATATCAACATATGACTAGTGATGTCCTTAAAATATCCAACCATATATTTTATATATATATATAATGATCCTTTGATACTTTTCAATTGTGACCTTAGATGCCATTTGTTTTTTTGGTACCAATGCTCGAATCTAAGAATGAAGCTTGAGTTATTAATGAAGAAGTCTGTGACCTTTTTTAAAAAAAACTTACCTCCCCTGACGTTTTTCATTAAAAGTGTTGTTTTTTTTTTTAATATCTGCTTGCATAGGTAATTTTAAAAATTAAATTGTTCCCTTTCGGAAAAGAAAAAAAATAGCCGTTGCATCAGAACTTTGAATGATCTAAAATATCATGATGTCCAATTTTCATTTTCTTTTCTAGTTTTTTTTTTTTAGACCAAACGGGCGGACGGACAGACAGACCACACAAATCTAATAGCGTCTATTCCCCTTTTGGGGGCTGCTAAAAATACATTATTCAAGCAAATAATGTAGAAGATGGTACACATAAGTTACGTTCTTGACAGCTTCTCTAAAACATTACATGTTGGTTTACAACAGTCATTTACTTGTTGTTAAGTTGTTCAATGTTTTGCCAAAGAAAAAAAAAGAGTCTTGAGTTTATTTGTTTTTTGTGATTGATGCCTTATATCTTCTATGTGACTGTTGGGTTCCAAAATCCTGAATCATATTCTTTAAAAAAAACAACGTTTGTTCTTTTCTATTTGAATAATAACATTTTGCATGAATGCAAAATAATGTGTGTGTTTGTTAAAGTTTTTTTTATTGTCTTCCGCAGGTTGAGTGCTACGATTTCAAGAAACTACTAGAGATTTGCCCGTCAAATGTACATAAGTATATGTGTATAGGCCCTACAAATAGGCCTATATATATATATATCAAACTAATAGGGCTTAATTCCCATCCTACGGCATAATAATAACCCTAACAAGTAAAATAATAATTTTAAAAAAACATGAGAAATTCTCCCTGGATACAACAGCCCAGGTCAGAGTCTGCACCACCAGTTCACCCTGTGCGTGACCCTCCGCCCATCTCTAGGAAGGAACAAGATGAAATTATTGAGAGATTGTCTCGCCCTACAGAAAGCGCCCTCTACAGGAAATCCCTTTGCTGGAAACTCGATTCTTTTCTGGATCGCGGCTATCCTTCCTGGACAAAGCTGGACCTCTTCAAAGACTGGAAGGACTGTATGTGGACGCCTGTGGGATCCATAAAGACAACGTACAAACTACGACCGCACAGACTGCCGGGGCTAACGTCTGGTCACGGTGATGACAGTAATTGCTGGAGCACTTTGGAAACTCCCAGACTGGGCAACACGTCGGAAAAATGCGTTCATGTCTCATGGGGCCCGGACCTTATTGCTAAGAAATGTGAGCTGAGACATAAGCGATGTCAAAGGGGCTCGCTGCGTTTGGCTGCAAATGTTGACACACATTTGAACAATGACTGCTCGGGACAAAGGCCTCTACCTTGTATTCACTGAGAGCCTTTGCCTATTGTTCTGACTGCTTAATAGGCCTATTATTTGTGCAGGACTAATGTGTTTAGTGGGCTTGTTATTTGTGTAGTCTTAATGTGTTTTAATGGGCCTATTATTTGTGTAGGCCTTTAGAGGGTTTGTTTTTTAATGGGCCAATTATTTGTGTAATGTAAATGTGTTTTAATGGGCCTATTATTTGTGCAGGCCTATTGTGTTTATTCACTGAGAGCCTTTGCCTATTGTTCTGACTGCTTAATAGGCCTATTATTTGTGCAGGACTAATGTGTTTAATGGGCTTGTTATTTGTGTAGTCTTAATGTGTTTTAATTTGTGTGGCCTTTAGAGGGTTTGTTTTTAATGGGCCTATTATTTGTGTAATCTAAATGTGTTTTAATGGGTCTATTATTTGTGCAGGCCTATTGTGTTTAAGGGGCCTATTATTTACGTAGACCTTTAGCGGTTTTTAATGGGCCTATTGTTTGTGTAGTCTTAATGTATTTTAATGGGCCTATTATTTGTGTAGTCTTAATGTGTTTTAACGGGCCTATTATTTATGTAGGCCTAGTGGCGTAGCAAGGTACACGTGGGCCCGGCTTTAAGAATATGGTGGTGGGCCCCCTCCCGTACTTGGAGTAAAATAAAAACATATCTAACAATCAAGTATGCATCAGCACATTTTTAAAAAGGCATTATTTTGTCGGTACTACCTTTTAGAAGTAATGTCGGTACTACCTTCTAGAAGTAATGTCGGTACTACCTTTTAGAAGTAATGTCGGTACTACCTTTTAGAAGTCATGGAGTCATTACATTCGATTCACTTCTTAGACTTTGATCCACCGCGCTATTCGGCGCAGAAATCAGTGTCGAGTAGAAGTCGGTCTCGATAGTAATCATCGCGTTTACATTCCTTTGTTTTATTGCTTTTTTTAAATATCTAGATCTCAATGTAGATATACAATAACTCTAAGCAAATTATATAACAAATGGATAGATTTCAAGTGCCATTGTGGGCCCCTATTACTCATGGGTCCGGGTTTATTGAACCCCTTCGCTCCATGAATGCTACGCTACTGTATAGGCCCAATGTGTTTTAATAGGCCTATTATTTATGTAGCCCTAATGTGTTTTAATAAGCCTATTATTTATGTAGGCCTAATGCGTTTTAATGAGCCTCTTATTTATGTAAGCCTAATGTGTTTATTTAAAATGTAGGCTAAAAACGTTGCTGAAGCGTCTCGTGAGAAGGTGGCGTCTGGCGCCCTGTTCAATCTTATCTCATCTTTCCAAGAATTTAGGAAATGCTCTTTCTCCAAAAATGTAGGTGTTAGCTGGCTCTCTCATATCATGTCTCTCCGAGAATTTAGGGTAGGCTATGGTGATCTCTCTCATTGCTCCCCAAGAATTTAGGGGATGTCATTTTAAATCAAAGTGTCACGTAGCATTAAGCAGCTGTTGCATTAAGTTTATATTTAGATATCTGCAGCGCAAGGTCATAGTTGCCTGGTCGCTCGGTTTGCGCGCTGGACTGTCGTTCAGATTTATCGATGGTCCCGGGTTCAAACCCTGCCCGCTCCCATCCCCCGTCGTCCTGCGGGAGGTTTGGACTAGGAAGTAATTATCTTCAACTCTGAAGGAACATCCGAAACATGTAAAACATTTTACAAACAATAGTTAAGTTGATTGCCGAGTTTCACAGAACAGAAGCGTCCAAGTCCATTATTAGTGCATTCATTGGTCGAATATTTGCATCACGGCAGCAAGTTAATTACAGACCATAAAGAGCGAGATTGTTTCCAAATATAGTAAGACGTAGATGGTAAAAAGTATTTAAAGGACGGATAGATTCAGTCGGGAGCTTGAACGACGACAGTAAATTTGTTTTCATTTAATTGTATTGTTCAATGTGTATATTATTACAGTAATGCGTAGTTCCAGAATTAAAGCTTTGTATTTATTAGAAATAAATCTTAGTTGTTTTGAATTTCTAGTTTGCATTTAAATCTTCGGCATAACGAAATTGTTTGGGTGTTCAGTAATTATTTAAAAGTAGAAATATATAACTAAATTATCAGAAGCGCATTGTCTGGACAACACAATCTCATAGTAGCATTAAGACATCACATCTAGCACTCAAATATAAATATCGTTACACAAAGTTATATTTATACATTAGTAGTCTATGTTGGCATAATTAAAGTTGTATTTATGCATTAACTTATTTTGTAGTTAACGCCCTTATAAGCGCAGAGTCGCCTGCAAAGAAGCTTCACCCCTCTCTACGCAGGTCTCAATGGACCGCTTGAGGTCAAAAGCGTCGCAGAATCTGCCAAAACGTAGCTTACTGAACAATTAGCACTTATGTAGGTTATAAATTTCACATAATCCTCAAGTTTTATTATATAAAACAGTAAACGAAAGGGATGGCACTACAATTGTATATTCACTTTCAGTCTCACTCTTGTGCTGTTTATAGATATAATCAAATGCACTGGCTGGACCAAACTTTGATATCAAACAACCACTTACTATTGACATCACTTGGCTATTCAATTATTATTAAAAAAAAACAACAACAACAACATTGAAACATGAATGTTTAATATATTTAATAGTTACATTAAAAGTAAAAATATTTCACAATAAACTCTTGAAGTCCAAGCGTCTTCAAGGCACAATAGATCTGGTCTAAATGTTTTGCCTGATTCAAAATTCTGTTCTGGAATATGAATACTGGACTTCAATGACATACGACTCACAACCAAACAGCAGCCAATAGCAGATATCACATGCAATCTATGTTATACAAAAATAGTGAGCTCAAGAAAAGACAATAAGTTAGTGGAAACCATATCTACATAGTTAAATGTCACTGCTCTATTCAGATCAATATTAACTCAATGCTAGTGTCCTATGTGTGTTGTTTTGTAGGCATGAGACATTTTTACAACTGTTTAGAATAAAGGAATCAATTATTGAAAAAAAAAGGGAGGAAACAATATTTAAACATAAAAAAAATCTTACAAAACAACGTTTCCATTCAGACAACCCTAACCCATTCTATACTATGTAATATAGTTGAAGCTTTATAAATAGAACATAAATTGAGCTTATCACTTTAAAATGAACAGTGACAAATAAATATAAAAATACCCCAACGTACTATCATAACGGAAGACTATAATCAAATATGAATGCAACAAAAATGCTTCCACATATCATAGACATATTATATATCTATATATATGTATGTGTGAATAAATATACATATATATTTTTGTCTGCAGTTCTTTAAATCGTACCATTGAAATATTAAAGTGACTAAAAGTTAAATACAGTTTAGAATGATAAAATATTTGCGAAGCTTTAATTAAAAAAAAACAACAGAATATTTATCTACAGATAAGTTTATTTATTTTGACAATCCCCATACATAAATAACTGGATAAGATTTTCCAAAAATCTATCGCATCCCCTTCGCTTTAAACCTTTTTTGACAGCCATAAAGATTCAAATATATATATATAAATGGAATGGCTAAGCCTTTGGACTCTTATTGCAAAAGCAAAAAAAATAATTCGAATCAAATGTTAATAAAAACAAGAGGTAGGGGTTACTACTTGAATCTTTAGGGTCAAGGGCAAATTTTTAAAATGATCAATACATGTACTAAGAACAAATTCTTAAAAATGGAAACACCCACATCAAAGAAGAAGCTAAAAGTAAACAAGTTTAAAAACTGCACAGCAGCATAAAATGTTTCTTAATTTACAGAACACCAATCAATGTTATTTAAGTTCTTAAACTTTTATCGAGATTTTAGCATTGCATGACTGGAAATAGAATTCTTAACTACCACAGTATATATGATACAAGATGAGACAATGTAAAGGTAGACGCTGATCTGAATAGAAGTATAGTATGACAAAGCCAACTTCAATATGATACAATGTAAAGGTAGACACTGATCTGAAAAGAAGTATAGTATGACAAAGCCAACTTCAATACGATACAAGATGAGACAATGTAAAGGTAGACACCGATCTGAATAGAAGTATAGTATGACAAAGCCAACTTCAATGCGATAGGTGATTCTTTCAATACAAAAATAATCAAGCGTTTAAACACATGGCATCATAAATTAATTTAGATTTCAAATTAAATTATACTTCAAGTAGTGCATGTTTGCTATAACCAAATTTTTTAGATTAATATTACAAACTAATACTATTTTGCCTTTATAAAATCTAAAAACCTCTCAGCTAATTTGTTTGAAACCAAATAATCACAACATATTTCCAAAAACTATCAACATAATAGTCAAAATAATGATAAAACTACATTTGTTTTATTAAAATATGTTGTACTCCAATTATATAATAAATTTTAAAAAATAATTTTTGGAGCAGCTACAAGAAAACATATACTTTAAAATAAAAAAATGCTACAATGAATTCCAAAAGTCTTTGCCAAGTGGTATATAATATCAATAGACAATGGATGAAAATTTATGTACAGCAAGATTTGTATTTAAAATTCATAAATAACTTGGAATACTCAAAAGAAATTTAAACAAGAGCTTAATCACAGCATGTTTGTATCATTTTTTTTATTATTATGCCATTTCAGAGTTCAATTTACAAGGAGAATAAATGATGGAAAACTTGGGACAGATCCCTAGAATAGCAGTTTCACTAAGAAATTAAGACACAAAGGTTATCTATCTACAACAACATATAGGGTCACTGGAGCATACACTTGTTCACACTGGTCTCTGTTCTGGTTCTCTGAAAAGAGAGATTTTATAATTGAATACACTATAATCAAATGGGCTTTATCATATAATAAACTCATGAGATATAAAGGCACCACAAACTGAATGCATTGGTAGTTATCAAATAATTTATTGAATATTGTTACAAATAATTTATTGAATATTGTTACAAATAATTTGACATCCGCTATTTAAATTAATAAATGCAGATGTCAAAAAAATATTGTTTTTGGTAGCTATTAAGTTTTTAAGCTAATATCATATGTTGACATTTTGCAGCAAAGAAAAAAATACATTTTAGGATAGTTCCATTAAGCACATTCTATTGTTAATCCAAAACAAGACATTGCCCCCTACAGAAAGAAAACTATATTAAGAACTGCTGATCAAAAAACAACAGCATAATTCTTCTCAGAAAGGATTACTCATCTGAGCCTTCTAACATAAAAATGAAAATAAAGTAGAAGAAGAATTAAGCTTAAGAAGTTATTATCACAACTTCATTGTATCGATTGAAATTAGCACATTTATCAAGTAATACATTTAATAAGTAAACAGGCAAGATTGTTTAAAGTTATATATACTGTAATTTTCAATAATCTTTGTAGCAAATAACAAAAATAATTAGATGAAAAGCTAAGCAACTGTGCATTAAGTGGAGCATTTCTAGAAGTTTGTAAAAATAGGATTTAAAAATGGTTGTATGTGTATAAAACTGGATTCTAATTTATTTCTAACTAAAATGTAAAGTGTAAACCATTTATTGTTTCTCAGAAAAACTGCCATTTTGTGCAACTCTATACACTTTCTTCACTTTACTCATTTCCTCTTCATATCCTCCTCCTCTCCCACTCACCTCCGCCCCAAATCAAAGCTTATCTATAGAAACATGCATCTAGGCCCTCACACTTTGTGGTTGACGCTGCTGCTGCGATAAAGATTCCTGCT